TTTTTTTTTTGTTGTTTAGAGATTTTTTGTAAATTCTTTTCCAAAACAGGTTGAAAACAGTGGTCTTATTATCACAGGTCACATATATAGGCTACCGAAGGTGCTCTTTGAGCACAATTCCTCAGTCGACTGAGAGCTGTCTGTGAGGCTCTGTTTGTTAAATTAAACATTTATATTTGAAAACAACAAACATAAACCGAAACAAATGAATTATTGGAGTTGTATACAAATATTACTAAAAGAGTACACAACACAATAATTCAGGTGCACAACAACATCAGATTATATTAAATTTTCATCTATTTATTTTTCTTTATTATTATATATAAATAATTATTATTAGTATATTACACTTTATGATTTTCATTTGCTTTCAACCTCCGGCACTTTTTGTAGAGCAAACACGTTCTGTATTAACTGCTGCAATAATACAAATCATATTTTTAGTTAAGTTCTCTATATATTTATATTATATTTTAAATACAAACGGCACAACATGCATACAATCTTCCTCTTTGTTTATCTCAGAGATTCGTAGAGGTGTTTTTTTAGAGTTTAGTTCTTGATCAGTGTTTTCATACCACATATGACAGTTGCTGGCATGGAGCCCAATGTTGGCCGACTGGGCTCGGTTGGCGGTACTTGCGCTGGACGTGTGGCTAAGACAGCTGCCCCGCTCCCTAGTCCTTGGGTCTCCTGCAGCAACGACATTATGCCAGCAGGAGAGCTGTGCAACTTTACTCCATTCTCACCTGGGCTCTCCTTAAATCCACCCCGTCCTGTTCCTTCTTTCTCTCCATTATTCTTCCTTTTCTTTTACACCGACCCCACCCTTTAACTCCTCCTCCTCCTCTCCTTCCCTGTTTATCATACTTTCTATGCTGTACTGTCCCCCTCTCCATCCCTTTATATCCCTGTATCCCCTCCTCACTGCATGCCTTGCTTCCTCTTCCTCCACTATCACACCCACTTCGCCTTTCTTTCTTCCCTCTTGCATTAAGGCGTGGATGATTCATTCTCCTCTCCACATACTGTACCAGCCAACTGGCCTAAGCCTGGAGCACGCTGAAGGCAGCAATAGAGTTTCTTCCATCCATGAATGACGACACTTGTCACGCGAGTGTGTTCCTTTCTCCTCTTCTGTATAATTTTCCCATCTTCTTTCTCCTTTTCACACTACCCTTGCTTTGCTCCCTTCCCTCTTCCCTACATTTCTACCCTGTTCTATGCGCCATTTATTCCTTATATTCCTTCCTAATTTCATTGTCCTCTATTTCCATCTAAAATTATAAATTCAAACCAAATTCATTTCAAAAAATGTACCATCAAGTGTGTGTGAATGTGCTTTTCAAAACATATTTCTCGGACACTAGCAATTATCTAATGACTTATAGTCTTCTTTTATACTATGTTATTTTACCTATATATTAGATACCAATACACACTATTGTATACCAATCTGGTGTACCGAGGAAGGATGACGCGTAGGGCTAGGGGTGGCATTGAGGGGGTGGAGTCTGGAGTGTGGATGTTTGTGGAGACTTTGTATAAAAATAATTAAATTGCGCTTGATGTGTGTTTTTTTCATGTACCAATTAGTTTTCCAGTAATACTAACTAGTCTTAGATCGTCTCATGTGCTAATAACCAAAGCTACAAAATTCTGCCATGCGCGTACAGTAGGATTGTGAATGTGGTTGCGCTGCTTTTACTTGGGGTGGATGTATTTCTTTTTTCTAGGTTGTTGAACAGTGGTACAATTTATTCACACAGACAAAACTAAGCTGCATGATAGCAGATATTCTGACTTTACCCTGGCGCATGTGGCCGTTGGATGGTCGGATTGCCAGTTATTAAGTGGCGTAGGCGCTCGGCCAGGCCCGCGAGCGCGAGGCGCGGTCGTTGGGTCGCCACGCCTCCTTGATTGTTGGTCTTGATGGTTGCTGTTGCCTTTTCCAAAGCTATTACACCGTTCACTTTTTCCATACAACCTCAAACAACGATGGATTTATCTATTTTACTGTTTTAAGGCTTTTTGGATCATTTACAGCATGCACCTTCTTGAACCATTTCAAATCATATACTGTTTGTTGCAAAGTCAAGAGCCTTAAATTGTATTTTAGGGAAAAGGTAAAGTAAAGTATGAAAGTAGTTGGTAACTGGTTATGTTTAAACAAACCATTTTACAACTTTACCAAGATTCCTACGTTCTTTATAATCTTCAAAATTATATTTTGAATTTACAATTTCGATCACGCAATGACTTGTCAAATTCTCTAATATACCTTTTAATGTAGTCTAATTGAAAAGACAAGAAGACTAGAAACAAGCAGCCATAAAAGCCATTGAAGATAGATTCCGATGTCATGGTTGAGGGAAACACAGGGAACCGCATTAAGCTTTGGCTGGCTCGAGCATCAAGGAGGCGTCTGATGGTGGGAATGTGGGAGAGCGAGGGTTCGCTTGCGCTGCGAGGTGGAGCGTAGACGGCGAAGGGGGCTGAAGCTATAGGGGGGGCTGAGAGACAGGGAACTAGAGAGAGCACGTGAGGAAGGAGGAAGGAGAGAGGGATTTTGCTGAAGAGGGCGTCGGTTCCCGTGCTGTCTGGCGCGCGTGAGGCTCCTTGTGTCGTCGGGGTTTCTCGGGTTGGCGGGTGCGCGAAGAAGTGGGGGTGGGAGTTGCGGGAGTGGGGGGGACAGCTGGTTGCGGTTGAAGCTTAAAGAAGCATCCAACAGCATCTCTCATCTTTTCCTATGTTGTGCAAACAGCACCGAGAGGTAGGTCCTAGGAGAAAAAGCACTGTGAGCCAAAAGCCAGATTAGTGGAGTTCAGGACGCTGGGTGTCGAGCTGTGGTGCGGGGTGGGTGGAGGCTCACCCCCCATGACCCCAGTTGGTTTTGCGCGTGTTGTCGTGGTTAAGTTGTGCTGTGTGTGTTGGTTTTTCCCCGTGATTTTTCTATAAACATTGATGTGAGTTTTCATACATCAAGATCATCATTCTGGAGTTAAGTTCTTATCTTGTGTGAACTCACAACTGAGTGTACTCTTATTAAATGTGTTGTCCTTTTCCCAAGCCACAAGTCCTGACACTCACGAATGAAAGCCATCTGTGTGTGTTTCCATAGCTCGTGTGTTGTGTGGTGTGTGGTTTTTTTTTGTTTTATTCTCTATCTCTCTTTTGTTGAGTTCCTATTAGTTATCCTTGTTTTTATTTTTTTTTGTGTACATATGTATATTTTTTGATCTTCACACAGCTCTGATGCCTAAAAGCTGCCACTGGCTGCGATGAAGCAGTGACATCCTTGTGGAGCTGAATCTATCTTTCTCGCGATGTGACTTATGACACGGATTGCTGGTTGTATTCTGTGTGCATAGCTGCGACTCATACGTTCGCATGTAGTCGGTACACAAATAATCGTTGCTGGGTATAGATCCAGTGATGTGTTTAGTGTGGATTATCACCCTAATCTATCAAAGGAAAACGTTGAATATCTGAAATGGAAGTAAAAGTTGAAAGAAATAACACGATAATAAAAGTAACATCATATTAATGGCGCGGTGAGCTGTTGCTATGAGGCTGTTGTGCACGGGATCCGCATGGACGCCGAGTTGGTTCATTTTGAAATTGTCGTTGGGTACTATTGACGTCAGCTGAATGCCATTCGACAAATGCAACGTGTAATCTATGTCGTACACGGCGCTGTGACGCGTGTACTGCCTAGGGCACTACATCCAGAGCGAGAGCTGCACCTCCTGTCCATTAATTTGTCATGCATGTGTGCATGCAACCTTAAAAAGAATCCTCCCACCTGAGACGCCGCTCCCCCCTGCGCCAACTCCCACACGTATTATGAGCAGGTGTCACTGTACAGTGGTGATGCCAGCGTTGTGCGATAGCGGCGCGTACGCGTGGCTGCCATGAATTGCATTGGTAAACTCGTGTGTGGAATTGCGGTGGCGGGTACCCGACGGCCATGAGCGCTTCTCCACTTAGAGTGCTGTATGTGCGTGAGCGCAGGAAGCAAGTTAGGAGGGGGGGTCTGTATAGTAGGTCTGCTTGGTGTATTATGAAGCCTAGATTGTGAGGCAGTTTAGGGACTGACTGGGAGTGAGGTTATCAAAGGCCCGCCTTGGTGCCTGTGTGTGTAGGAGCCATCAAAGACTCGGGTCCATGGGCCGCATCCTGGCATCCCAGGCAGGCAATTCGGGCCCTCCTCGGTCCGGTTACCGTATTAAGGAACACACCAGCAGCGGAGCGTACTGCGGGGGGAGGGCTGCGTGAAGTGGTGCGTCGAGAGCGTTGGACGGGCGGCCGCAGTGAGAGCATGGCGCGCGCTAAGCGAGTTAGGTCGTCTGTCCAGAGAGTGTTTCGGGCGGGCGGTGGGGCGTGTTGTGTTCCTGTTTCATGGAGTATCATCCCTCCGCACAGCATGGCCGCCGCTCGGTCAGGCCGGGTGCGCCCCGCGCCCGGGGGGGCGGCCGGCGCCGGTGCCCGGGGTGCGCC